ACCCAGCTGGGTCTTGTACCTGTCTTTCCTCACTTGCTCTCCTCTTGACTTTTCTTGTACCGTGACATATATATACCTGCTCTTGCTTGTCTAGCTTTATATATATATGTGTGTAGTCCTGCATGTGAACTGGCCTCTGGCCCTGCTCTTGTGCTCGGACTGTGTGGTGACTTTGTGATCCACCGTGAGCTTGCTTTGCTTTGCTTTGCTTGACTGGTCTTGTGACCCCTTGTTCTCCCCCAGTTTGCCTATGGGGGTGTGTCAGAACATATCTATAGCTTATACTATTGTGTAGGCTGTAGTGGGGTATCCCATAGGGGGTACAACTAGTTAGGGTTTCATATTTGTACTGCCTTCATTCATAGTTCATTCATTCCTGTTCTACAACTCTCACACCCCTCCTCCGAAAAACGCTACTTCACACAAGCGCCCTGCTCCTTCGGTCGACCCAACGCCACCCACCGCTCTGGCGGATGCTGAGTATGAGTCGGTGAAGAAGACGTTTGAGGGTTAGTGGGCAGGTAGCTTCAAGTGGTTACGTTTGCACCGCATGTCTAACGGTCGTCCGTGTTTGAAGTGTGCGATTTGTGTGAAGCATGGAGATCCACTGGCACACACCGCGTGCGGGGCGAAGGGCGAAGGCGCTCGGGAGCTCCAGATTGGCAGCATCCACGCTCACACCTCCTCACGTGCACACAAGGAGTCGTTGGAGAATCAGGAGAAGGCGGAAGCGGAGAAGGCGAAGCAGGCCTCAATCACACGATGGCAGGCTAAAGACGCTTCCACACGACACATCATTCGGCTCCTCCACATCGCGCACTTTGTCTTTAAGGCCGATGCACCCACAGCGATGTTCGTCCCGCTGTGTTGGTTTCTGGCGAAGGATGGGTTACCAGACCTGCCTCGCGCTGGCGGCTACGGCGCGTACTACACAGAGTAAGTGACTACTTGATTTGGTGTTTTTGCTGTGTTCTATATTATCCACTGTGGTATTTAACCACTCATGATGTTCCCTGGCAGCTACGGCTTCAAAGAGAACATGCGCGCCCTCTCAACATACCTTCAAGAGACACACCGCCAGCACCTGCTCGAATCCCCATGGATAGGGATTCAACTCGACGAGAGCACGGACCGTGTGAATGGGAAACACCTCATTCTATATGCCACGTTCTTCCAGCGCACCACTATGGTTACAGAGTTCTTGACTCTGGTTACTGTTGACCGTTGTGACGGTGCCTCACTCACATCCGCTGTTGTGCAGTATCTGACAGGTATCGGGCTGGATCTTCAGAAGATATCCAGCGTCGCATCCGATGGTGCCAGCGTCATGGTCTGCAAGAACCGAGGAGTTGTGACACGTCTTCGCATGCGCATTCCGCATCTGGCTTCAACACACTGTATCGCGCATCGGTAAGCATCACCGTTGTGTGCTCCGTGCTGCTCGCTTACCAACTGCTGACGCTGACTAACAATATGTCGTGTTTCCTCTATGTACAGGGAGGCCCTCGCTGCGAGTGATGCTGCAGAAGAGGTACCTGACCTGCTAATAATCGACGACGTCCTGCGCACCTTCGCTGACCACATCGGCCGCAGCAGCGTAGACTACGCGAAGTTTCAGGAGATGCAGCGGATTTTCTGCCAGACGAATCTCGAGGCACATGGGATTAGCGACACACAATGGCTCGCCCGCGGTGAAGCGGTACAGCGCCTGCTAGACGTGCTCCCTGCGGCCATTGTGGTGATGAAGGATTACAAGGCGGATCTCTATGAGGTGGTGACCTCGTTCAAGTTCCACTGGCTCATCCGCTTTCTTGCGGATGTGCTTTGGGAACTGAACAGCCTTAACATGCGATTCCAGCAGCGCCAGGTAAGCGTCTTTGTTGCTGGCGTCTTTGTTGTCGCTTGCAAGCAGGTGTACAAACTAACTCGTTGCGATCCCCATTTGCAGGTGGACGTAACCCTTGTTGCGCACATCGTGCAGCAGACAACGATGCGTTTGAAGACGCGGTATTCCCTCCGCGACCCTGCACACCATTTCGGCAGCGGCGAGAAAATGCAGCTTCCCGAGTTCATTCAGAGGCACGGGGCAAAGGACAAGCGCGAGATGAAGGCGGAAGGCGTAGACGGGGAAGGGAATCCCGTCACGTTTGAGTTCACGCTGCACGAGCGCCCGCTGCCTAGACACGAGACGGAAGGCGATGTCACTGCGTGCGTCGAGCTGTCAATCAAGTACGTGCGCGCCATTGACAAGGAGCTGGAGTGGCGGATGCGCGACCTAGAAGGTTCGAAGCTGTTTCGCACAGCCTCGTACGTGTCCGACGACACGAAGCGACTTGAAACCTTCAAGAAGTGGCTCGGCCAACTGCACAAGTTATACCACCACAAGCTGCCTGGTAAGCCTTCTGTAGCGCTTGCACATGTTATGATGTTTGTTGTCACTTTCATGCCTGACATTAGGTTAACCATTGCACATCCTACATACTGTAACCTGTTGGACTAATGCCCCCCACCCCTACCCGTGTTTGCGTGTCAGAATAATAGGCTAAGTTGAAAGGAAGGGCCTAGGCTTAGTAGCCTAGGCCCGTACTAAGGTGTCGAGTAGGTTTTACCCTAGGCGAGGTGTCGAGTGAGTTGAGAGAGCAATTGGAGAAAAGAGGTGGTTTCACTATAGGTTCAAGGGTACATATAGCATAGAAACCAAATAAGGTGCACCACCAACAACAGTTTAAATAACTACACTAACTACAATTACAAGCAGTTATAAAACATGACAATATATTTCGACACTGCGAGCATCGGCTTAGCTTTCATCGGCACTCCGCCCCACCACAGGGTTCGACTACAAGAGAGCCCAGCAGGAGCTGTGGATGTTTACATCCACAATGTTCGCCCAGCACAACAACGAGGAATTCCATCAGGCGCTGACGAACATGCTACGGGATGATGCATGGCGTGTCTCCTTCCCCAACATCATGCGGATGTGGTAGTCAGTGGCCGTGCTGCCATTGAGAACGGTTGAATGCGAGCGTGGCTTCTCGAAGCAGAATCTGATCAAGACGTGGGGCCGTGGCAGCCTTGGCGACACTAGCCTGGAGCATCTGATGCGTTGCTCCCTGCTGCGGTACGATGTCGACTGGTTTGAGGTGGTCGCTATCTTTCGTGGAGAGAGGCTGAGGCGATCCACCAGGGAGTTCGACCCCACCAGAGCTTCACAGACTCAGTTTGTAGAAGATGTAGGCAGTCGGGGTGACACTGAGTAGGTGTGTAGTTAATGTATGACTTTTGTAGAGTGAATGGACTTTGGGTGTATTACTTTATTTCTATTTTTATTAAAACCGTAGCTCACAAAACTGTAACCAAAACAGAATTGGCCCGAAAATACCCTGCTCAAATCAGCCTAGTGCCAGAGTTACCCTGCTGAAATCAGGCTACGGAAAATTCTACCCTAGGGGTCTGTTCTAGGAGGGGCTGGTACCCTGATTTGCAAGAGTAGGCCTAAACCAATTTTGGGCCCTGACCAGGATGCCTCCGCGACGAAGCTCACGTGCCAAGGGAAAGGAGAAGGTTAGCGATAATGAGGCCCAGGCTGACCCCCCCTACGTCGCATGGATGAAAGAGCAGCAAAAGCAGGGGAAGCCCTCCCATCTATCAAGCGTATGGCTAAGGCCGTACGCAAAACTGCGGGCGCCAGCACTAGCTGAAGTTCCCGGCATGACTATCCAGACACAGGCGCCGATACTGATGTCCCCGATGACGATTTCGAGGAGATCATCTCGGAGTCGGATAGCGATGCCGACTCAGCCGATTATAAACGCGGCAGTGACGAGGACGAGGAAGATAGTGATGGAGGCGAAGACGGGAGCGGTGATGAGCGCATCACACGCCCGTCGAAGAAGGAGCAGCGGGCTCCAGCGTCCCGGAACAAGCGCTAGTGGTCGGACGCCGAGTTGACGTCCCTGGCGGCCGCTCGTTGGAACACTAACGACGACCTGAAGGCTATGCAGGCTGGGCTGACGTTTCATTTCGGGCCCCCCTGATTTCGGGAAAAAAATTCTCCCTGGATTATGAGGGCACATATTTCGTAGGTTTGCTACTCTGATTGGTCAGTGTCCAACAACGACTTACTCTGAGTTGTCAGGGTTCAGAGCAAGAAATCAGTGTTGCTTCTCCCATTTCCCTCCCACGCCTCACTTCCCTGGCCGGTCGAAATCAAATAGAACACACAACCAAGCTGGCAGTCGTGATTTTACTGTACTGAAGTCACACAAACTGTTGGGTCGGATCACGGTTCTTCTGAAGTTCGCCTGCCATAAAATCTGGACAAGTGTACAGATGATGCCCGACCCATGCACGCGAATTTGCCCTACCCGCCACAGAAACCTTGCACGCGTGCATTTGGTTCCGGGCAGTTGCCCCCTGGTTAGAGGCACACAAAACCACTTGTGCAAGTTGGGTAATCACGACAACAGCAACATGCCAGTCAACAACAAACGCACCCGCCCCCATGTTTCCTTGTTCGTAAGTCAGGGACAGGCAGCGCGAAAACCGTGGACGAAATGGGTTTGACGTCGCGCACGGCTTCACTGCTTACCGTATGCCACGTCGTCGTGTTTCAATGTGCGCCAAACACACAAGGAGGAAGCAAAATCGCCACGTGGAGGTTGCCCGTACAGCTATGACACACGTCAACCGATGCATTGAAACAGTCTCTAGTGCATGATAGAGACCCATTCAAAGGGCCCATTCACTCCCCGAATGTGGGTTACTGACTCGGAAACGACCCTCGAACCCAATAAACACACGTCACATTGTGTGGCGAGTGGTTACATATGAATGTTACACGCACTTCCTAGTGCTCATTCTCCGCTGAAGGTGCACAAGGCAAAAACTCAACTTCAAACATCCTCGGAATTGCAAACAACGAGGAGCACCACAGGAGGATAAAATGCCGTGCATTTACACTCGACATTCATATTGTCGTCTCACTTACCTCTCTAACCATGCCTCGCCTGTACCGTCGCTCCCAGCTTCCCGTGTACATTAAGAAGGCAGTCTGCGCGCATCATGTGCAGAATCCTCTAATGCGCCAGGTTGACCTGGCGCGCTGGTGTTGTACTCGATACGGAATCCGCCCCGACCGCTCCACTGTCGGCCGGATTTTGAAGGGCGCTGATCGGTGGAGCGCGCCGTCAGCATCGAACAACCCCGTCCGTGTTCGGGGCAGAGCTCACCCCGACCTTGAGCGCGCAATGGTGCGCTGGATCTCGAACGCCGGCCCGGCGGAAATCCCGCTCACGCTGCAGACAATCCGCGACCACGTCGCGGTCATCGCACGTGACTTGGGAAAGCCGCCCTCATTCCGCTGTTCCGTGGGATGGGTGCGCCGCGCACTGCACCGCAATGGCATCAGGTGCCATTCAGCTGCTGGCGAAGCCGCGGATCAGGACATGGCGGCCGTGCGCACTTGCCATTCAGAGGTGCTGGTGGCGGACGGAGTGCCTCCCTCTCGCGTGGGCCCTCTCTCTGTCCCACGTGGGCGCCGCGGGACTCACCCCAGGTGGCCGTGGTGTTGTGCCGCTCGCCATCGATCTCGATGGCAAGATCGATGATGTGGGCGTTCTCATCGATCGTCTTGGCCTCGGCCCAAGCGCGATGCCGGCCGCCGACTTTGTCGCAATCAACAACGGGCAACCGACGTGCGCAGAGCCGGGCGAGGACCCTTTGGCCGACGAGCCCGCGTCGGCGTATTCGGCTGCGTCGTGGGAGGCGCCTACGAGCATGGAGGCTGTCTACAACGACGACAACCCCGCGTCCCGTGAGGCTCGTTGTTATGCGCGCGCCGCATGTGAGATGCTAATCGGGTACGCGCGCGCCACCAGCATCACCCCCCGCGAGCTTTGCGCCCTCTTCGAGATCCGCAACCCGATCATCGTCGAGCGCATGGAGAGGGCGAGCCCGCCCCTGAATCTCAACGCGACCCCGATCGCCACCCCCAGGCCGTCCGAGACCTCGGATGCCGTGCGCGCTCCTCCCCGCGGGCGCGTCCTCCCTGCGTGGATGACGGCGCCCTCTCCTTGCCAAGCTCTCATCGATGCTGGCGCGCCTGCTGCCATGGACGGCTTCATGGACGCGGCGGAGTGGGTGCGTCTGTGAATGCGTGGATATCCTCTCTTGGGAGTTGGTGTCTCACTAAGTGCACCATTGTCAACATGTCGCTGACATTGGTGTGATGTTAGTGTTTGTTGGTGCTGTTTCATGTTGGATGAGTTGGCTTGCTGAGATTAGCCCGGGAGACGACTGGGGATGTCTGTGAGGGAATGCGTTGCATATTGTAATGCGCCAATACAGTTTGAAGACGAAATGTGGTAACAACAATAACAGTTACGAAACAACTGCGGCAATCCAGCACTGTTTCGGGTAAAACAAACCTGTAACATTCGGTGATTTTTATAAGCCCATGTTGGCCCATGCGAAATGCTACGAACCCCACGAAATGCCCTAACCACTTACAAGCCCAAAGCACAAGGCAACCTTGGGGGACTCTAACGAGCATTGGGTGTACGCGAAAGTACACGTCAGTGTGACTTGGCACCACACAGCCACGAATATCGCCCACAATGTGCCACCCAAAGTACAGTGCACGTTCGCCGTCAACCACAGTGTATATTTGCAGAGAACATGGCAGGGTCCGAGGATGTCGCGGAGCATGCAGAGCCTTAGCGCGCCAACGTCTGCACACGGTGACGCCTGAGGTAAGCGCGATAGATGTGCTTGCCGAAGTGATGCATGTGCGTACGCAAATCGGCCAGTGAAGGGTTGTCGAGGCTCTGCCACTCGTACTTGTCCATGCCGTTTCTTGTCCACCAGCCATTAGGGAGCCCGACCCCGATAAAGCGGCGCGGATTGTGCGTCTTCATCCGCGGCATGCTAACGACCTGCAACATGTTGTGGAGGATGATGACGCAGGCCGTCCTAGCGCAGACACGCCAGAGCTTGCTCTCGTTCCCGTGCGCGAAGAGTCGCCAGGGTCCCTTCAACGCGCCGATGGTGCGCTCGACGACCATGCAGGTAGCAGACTGCACGTAGTTGTATGTCTGCTCCCATTTCTTCATCACGCGACGGCGTGGGGCGTGAAGGGGGGTGAGCATTTAAGGCTTCAGCGGGTATGCTGCATCTCCTACAAGCTGATAGGGGGCGATTTCCCCACTTTCTAGCCTGCCATGCAAATCAGATGTTGAGAAAACTCCTTGATCATGCATTGAACCAGGATTGCCGACGTTGTAATCCTAGATGACTCCCTTAGAATCGCATGTCACTTGAAGTTGCAAACTGTAAACCTGCTTCCGGTTGTAGTAGTTACCACGGTGAGCCTCCATGCCACGTAGCTCAATGTGGGTCCCGTCAATTGCCCCAATCACGTTGGGAACACCCTTGATTGCACACAAGTCAAGCGCCATCTCCTCCCTCACGTCCTCCGTAGGGAACTGCACCCATTCACGCTTGAACTTGCGGGAAAACCATACCAAGAAGGCATCGACGATACGGTGGATGAGTCCTTTGGGCAATCCAAACAAGAGGCCCAAGTCGTGGAACGTCATGGCGCTGGCAAAGTACTTGATGGGGATAAGACAGCACAGTGACAAGGGAACCTCGCTCACTTCCACAAAACGCGACATGGGGTAGGCCATTCGCTCGGCGATGAGGTCGAGGACTTCGCGGGTAATACGGAAGGTATCTTCAAACTCCTCGTCGAACATCACGCAGATCTCCTCTGTCAGAAACAAGAAGTGAATGAACTAGACAACATTGCAGTTAAGTATGAAACCCTAGAAGTTGTGTACCCCCTATAGGCTAACCCACTATAGCCTACACAGCAATAACACATATATAGTAGTGTTGGACACACCCCCATAGGCAAAGTGGGAGAGAGCAAGGGGTCACAAGACCAGTCAAGAAAGGGAAACAAGCTCAAGGTGGATCACAACGTCACCATACACTCTGAGCACAAGCAACGGGCCTCAGGGCCAGTTCACATGCAGAGGCATATATGCAGTACAAACAACAAGGTGATCTCAACCTAGCAAAGCAAATAGACAGGTATGTATATATGGAGATCACAGTACAGGCAAAGCCTACAACAAGTGAGGAAACGTGGGCACAAGCCCAAGCAAAGTGCAGAAACGCTGATGATCACCAGGCTGGAGTGCCTTGGTGAATATATCACCGATGTTGGCCTGAGTGGCCACGTAAAGCAGATAAAGCTGACCATGCTGCTGTAGCTCTCGAGCCAGGAAATAACGGAGAGCAGTGTGCTTCGTTCTGTGCTCCAGTCTGTGCTCCTCACACAAGGCAATGGCAGCCTTGTTGTCGACGTACAGCACTGGAGGAGAACTAGGCAGCTCTCCCAAGTTGGTCAGCAGGTAGGTGAGCCAGCGTAGCTCCTGTGCAGCCATGGCCGTGGCGTAGATCTCAGTCTCACAACTGGAGCTGAGAATAGAAGACGAGCGAGTAGAACTCCAAGAAACTGAATCTGAGCCAAGGCTGAATGTGTAACCCTGTGACGACCGCTGAGTAGCCTTGTTGTCAACCCAAGAAGCGTCTGAGTGCCCACTGGGAACAACTGAGCTCCCTCCTCCAAGCACAAGCCCCATGCCCGATGTACTGCACAAGTAGCGCAATACCCTCTTTGCAGCATCCCAATGCACCTTTCGGTGCCTGCCAGGAACAGCTGGCCAGAAGGCCAAGAGGGTATGCTAGGTCAGGACAAGTCATCAGGTACATGAGGCAACCAACTAGCTCTAACTAAGGACCACTAGGCTCTACGGACTCATCTGAAGGCAGAGCTGAGAGCAAGTGACCTATAGCCAGAGGAGTGGCCTTTGCCGAGGACCAGGTGAAGCCGAAGCGCTGAAGGACTTGCTGCACCATGTGTGACTGAGTCAGTGTGATGGTGCGGCTTGCTCTGTCCCGGGTGATCTTCAAGCCAAGGTAGCTGCGCAGTTCACCCAGGTCTGTGCACGTATATCTCTTCTGCAGCTCCGACTTCACGTGGGCGAGAGCATCAGTGTCAGCAGTGGCAAAGACCAAGTCGTCGATGTACACGAGGATGTAGAACGGTGGTAGTGAAGTGTAAGTGCGCAGAAACAGCGACGGGTTAGCAGTAGAGGGCGCGAACCCAAGTGCTGCAAGAGTAGTCCTCAGTGTGTCATGCCACTCACGTGGCGCCTGGCGGAGACCGTAGACTGGCCGCCGGAGGCTCCTCTGGGTACCAGGAGAAAACGACCCAGTGAAGAGAGGTGGGCGGCGCAGCCAGATCTCCTCGTGCAGGCTGCTCTGCAAGAAAGCTGTGCTGAAGTCAAGAGAGTGAAGCTCGTAGTCACGCTGAGCAGCAACGTGCAGTAGTACCCAAAGAGTGGTCATCTTCGGGGTGGGGGAGAAGGTCTGAAAGAAGTTTACTCCCTCTCGCTGACTGAAGCCTCGAGCAACGTAACGAGCCTTGAAGACAGGCGGAGAACCTGGCGGCCGCTTCACCCTGAAAATCCACATGCCACTGATGATGTTCGCCCCAGGTGGGGGAACCTCATCAACGTAAGTGCCAGTGGACTTCCAGGATGCCATCTCTGCATCCATGGCTGACTGCTACTGAGAGGAGTACTCACCCGCGATCGCCTCAGCGTAAGAGCGCGGGGTTGGGATGTCTGGAGCATCCGGGTCTCCCTCAGGGGCAATCAGCATGGACACAAGATGAGGCGAAGCGGTTGCAAGACACTCAAGGTCCTCATGTCTGTGCTCAAGGACGTCCTTGCCTAGAGCACACTCACCCCCGACGGACGGAGGACAGACAGACTCAGACTCAGCAACAAGACTCGCATCGTAGTCTAGACGACAGTGAGCAGCAAAGTTGATAAGCTTAGCAACTAGGGCAGACGCAGCAGCAGACTCAAAGGAAAGGTCCGTGACAGCACTGGTCAGGAGACGCGTGACAGTAGGACTGGCAGCACGTAGAGAGTCAGACTCAGGGTCAGAAAGGACAGGAAGAGAGGACTGAGGAGGAGACGGCAGAGGAACACGCTGCGGAGCAGTGGAAGGACGCAGAGTCATATAGTGTGTGCCAGGCACAGGTGGGGGACGCTCACGCTGACCACGGCAACCAGTGCAAGTAGCATGAGCAGGTGACACAGAACGCGACACAGGCGAGACAAGACGAGACTCACGCTCACGACGCTCTGTAAGACCGCCTCTCGGACCAGTGTAGGGAGAAGGACCAGGCAGTGGCGAGGTAGGTGGGAGCTGGGACTACGACTGGACAGGCGGACGACACTCTAAGGAGGGAGGAGGACTAGGATGCGGAGATAACTACTACAACGGGAGCTAATCTACTGGCTAGGCACGTGTGCTCGTATGATATCTGCGTTCGTTGGTCCTTAGACGTTTTCCTAGTGCTCACACTACTTGCTAATGCCTGGGGCAATTTGGCAAGAGTTTCACTAAGAAAAGATGACAATTATGATACAATGAAGTTGGCAATGCAAGACTACATCAGAGCTAGCATTCAGGTCGGTCAACTGCCAGCACAGCATGGTCGACCGCGTTCCAACACGACTTGGTCGACCGCGCTCCAGCAGTGCAAAGTCGACAGCTTGCCAATGCTGCAGGTTGACGGTGTGCCAGCTGTGCACCCGCTTTGCAGGTGCGTGCAGATGATTGGTGTGTAGAGTCTCGTTACCTACACAGCACACACACCACGCCAGCCTTTAGCTGACGACTACCTCTGATCTGCCACGACGACCTCGGGATACCATCACCGAGGTCGGTCTCGCCAACTTCGCCTGGGCGACCGTCGCACTCCTCTGCAGCACTTCGTCACCCAGGTAACCTGGTCGACCGGGCAACCTCATCGACCAGCAACTCCCGTACGTGTCCGTCGACCTCCCAAGTCGACGACCACCTCCATGTCGACCTCACCAGGACGACCACGCCCCTCAGTCGACGACCACGCTAGTCGACGCCCATCTGCTCGGCGTCCTGAGTCGAGGTCGACGTCGGCCCCTCCTTCGTCGACCACCGGGTCCAGTCGACCACCCGCAGGTCGACCAGTACATCAGCCGACCACCGAAGTCGGCTTCCCCGAGTTGACGTCACCAAGTTGACGT